GACAATGCTCTTGGAATTAAAAATTAATTTATTATTTACAAGATGTTCTTAAAAAAATTCAGTCTGACAAAACCTCCTCTGCAACAACTCTTACGTAACCTGATGGCGCTGATTAAACGCACTCAGTTTACAATGAAGTTTTAAAATGGTTTTGGAAGTTATCTTCCCTTCACTACTGTAAAACAAGTCCCCCAAAGAATCCCCACCTACATAGAAAAAATAAATACTCCAGAGACCAAGGCCCAGTACCTGGAGAGGTCGTTAAGAAGACTGAGGACATCCTGCAGGGCGTCGTTGCCTGCGGCCTGGTTGCCACAGCACTCGGTAGCCCGGGCGAGGTGGTTGGTGAGCAGGCTGGAGACCTGCCGAGCCAGGCCAGAGTGAACAGCTTCTGTGGAACCACCTGCAGAAGCAACCCAAGAACACACAGCTGTCGTGAACAGATCCATGTACACATGTACAACTTCCTTACTCATAACCTCAAAATGATAAAAAAAGATTTTGTATTGTTATAGTGAAACTTTACATATAAAGTGTTTTTAAAAGTAGAATCTGCTATGACATCTATGCCCCATTAGCCAATAGACAGGTGTCTATAAGTTTATGTAGGTGATGGGTGAATCCTAGCACAGGAGAAATGCTTAAGTGATCATTCAGGGTATCCAGGTTCTCTGGTTATGTCTATACATAACCAAGTGGCAGACTCAAAATTATCTGCCATATAAACACTCCAATGAGAAGGAAAAAAGCTAGAATTGTAAAAGCAACAAGAAGACAACCAACATTTTTTGCATCTACTGGTGTGTTCTAAAGAACCCCTAGAGTACTGAAGCCACAGTGAGTGAATGCCCTATTTTAAATACATTTAAACTGCTTCCCAGGCACCTGGGCAACTCTGAAGCATGCAGCTGAAATATATCTGGCAGTGTTCCTACCTTCTTCCTTCTCCCACTCCACACATCGGTTGGCTAGCACCTGGAAGGCAGCCCAAGCCATGGTGGCCACCTTCTGTTTCTTAGTTTGCTTTTCATTTGAACTGGATTCTGTCTGGCTGCTTAAACTGCACAGCCTGTCCATGAGCTGCACCAGGCCACTACGCACCAAACACTTCTCTTCACTCCTGTATGAGAGGAAAACTCAGATTTTACTTCAGCAATGTTTCAGCCACTAACAACAGACAATGAAAATCCACAACTTGCTGTTAATTCTGCCAAAAATTCCTTCACTTGGCAGAAAGATGGTTGTCTCTCCCCTGTCTTCCCCAGGCGAAATTCTGTATTCTGAGACATTTTAACAGCATGTTCTCAGATACTCCTCATAATGAAGAGAGTGAGGATATTTATACTATATAATGCTTCTCATTAAGGCAAAACTTAGTAAGGACAGCTCTGGGTGCCCTCCTTCCCTTTCTGACAGGAAGACTTTCATACCTGGTGTAAGGTATGGTGCACAAGAGGCCGATGCTATTCGCACAAGCAATGGGGTAACGAGCACACAGAGAGACCACAGATGTCATAGTCTCTCCAAAAGCTTCCTGGACTTGTTCCACCATCCCACCACACGTGAGCTCTTCAATTCTGTTGGTAGACAGGGATTTGAAATGGAAGGCTTTTTAGGTTAAATAAAATGAATAAACTTCCTACAGCTTTAACAAAAATAATCACCACGTATTAAGAATTACTCCAGGAGGATTTAGAAGCAAAACTGCAAGTCTCTTAATATTTTAATCTAAAACATACGTAAACAAGATAATATGGTAGTTTTACCTCAGGCATGATTGAAATCTGACTACAGACAAAGTACTGACAAAATATTTATGAAGTTTAGATGACAGTACCAGTTAATCTACCACCATTACTACCTAATGAACATGAATTTAGAACTAAGACAGGAAAGTAAGTCTGTACATATCTGTGGACACCATGCCAGCATGCTTCTTCTGCTGCCCAATAAAAGCATTTCTTAGAAGTTTCTGCCTTTTTATAAAAGGGCCAAAGTGGCTGTTGCGAGCTTTGTTCCACAAACTGGACCCCTCATGCTTAAGTCACTTCTCCCAGTTTTCCTTCGCACAAAGCCATTTACTACAGAGACCAAACCATTGAACTGTTTTCAGAGGAATAACCAAACCTGGGTCCTCCCTGAAGCACCATGGTCACTGGGCCTACGAGGTGTGTCACGCCACCGACCCGCACAGCAGCCGTCAGCAGCTCCCTCATGTGCACCAGGGCCTGTTTCCGTGTGTTCCCGCGCCGCCACCGCGTCTGAGCGGCCAGCAGGAAACTGCTGCTGGACACCTATGAGATTTTGGTTGCCCTTGTTAATGAGGCACGAGCAACAGACACCTCCTTCCTCTGGGGAAGTTGGAATTGGGGAAGATAAGCATCTGGTACATCTAAAATGCCGTACCGCTTGGTCGGGATTTGTCCCGATGAAAGCAAAGAGCTGTCCCAGTAAGACACTGTATGTGGGTTTGTCTCTGCTGTCCTCAATGGTCAGGGACTGGAGGAGAGTGAAGGAGCTGCTTCTGTGGCTGGTGACGTGGCGGCGCCTGGGACAACACAGGATAAATAATAATAAAGTGACCCAAAGGGAAAAAACCTGCTCTGCTTGCAAACTTCACCATGGTTTTAACAACACAGGGCACACTCCTGTGAAGCAGCTCCGTGGAGTCCACCCTGGCATACCTCTGACTGGATCGAGCAAACTCGAGGTCTTCGTTGCCGATCATCTCTAGGTCAGATGGGGCTGACATGCTGCGAAGGAAGACGGGCTGCCGGACTGCATGGGAGATCACTTTGGTTTCAGATGCTGATTTACAGGCTGCAACAGTAGACAGTAAGAAAGAATGTCACTCCTGGGGTAGGAGGCTCGTTACAAATGGTTTTTAAATTCACTGTAGACATACTAGAGAAAGTTGTAACACAGGGTGGGGAAACCACTGTCTAAGCAAAACCTTGCAACTCAGCTCTGAGGACTTCCCTGGTTTAAAGTGTTGCTTCAAGTTAGGTTTGTTTTGATTAGGTTAAGCATTTTTTCCCCCAATAATTCAGGAGACTAAAGTTTAAATGCCACATATTATTACTCAGACCTTAATTTATCATTGTAGCAATCAATAAACACAACTTTGTTTACTATAAAAATAACTTGAAAAAGTAAAAAAGTTTTATTTTAATTTAAGTGAAAGAGGGAAAATAAGAGAAAAGGAGTAAATTACATCTTTAGGAAAAAAAAAAGAAAATAAACACAATGCTGGTAATGAGATCTATACCTGGAGTCTCTGCAGGGGTCCCAGATATACTTCTTGTGATACCAGACTGTGCTGCAATAGTGACATGTAATAACAGCTCTGCTCTGTTCATCAAGCTCTTAACTAATGTTTTTGTTTTTGCTAGGGGATGATAAGTCTTCTGAATCAGGGAATTCACCTCCTGAAAAAACTTCTCCCTAAGATTATGAAAGAAAAATAAAAGAAGCAAACTCAATTATGTTTTAATGCCTGCCAAAATGAAGTGCCACTGTGAAAAAGGTTATTTTAAAGAAGACTTATAGCATCAAAGTAGAAAACAGAAAAAAATAAAGAAGTAAACAAATGATCTGTTAGTAAGTACCAACAGCTGTATGTACTAATATATTTAGCACTAGTGTTTCTAACAATTTAATCAGATATTGCTGGGCAGAAAGGAAAATCAAGTTTTAAAGTATTAGCATCCCTGGTTAGAAGGTCATCTGAATCTTCCTGCCCCCAAAGATCATTTTCTTTCTATAGGTCTACCAGCCTTAATGGAATTAAACATTAAATGTTTTTGAAATGTTTAGCACCAGCTTCTATTTCACATCATTAAGTGTCACAGGGTACCCTAAGATCCAAGCACCTACTTCCATAAGCATTTAGGTACTTATGCAACTTTAACCCTGCACATTGGAACTCACTGAATTTCCACAGCTGCTTTAAGCTGCCTAGTTTTGAAGTACCTTGCCTAAATGGTACATTCCACAGCCAGCTACTAACCTCAATGCCAGGACCACGTTCTCCAGATCACTTCCATCAAAACAAACTTCTTTCATTGAACACAGAAGTTCAAGTTCTTTCATCTTGCTCTAAATAAAGCAAAGGAAAAGGATGAAGATGTATTGAGAGAGCAGCAGGAAGTGTGAGCACAGAGGGCAGCCACAAGGCTTACCTCGTTGAAGTGATAATCATAGAAGAATGGGACATTGTTCTCCAGCTTCCCATGCATGGCATCATCCACCTCATTCTGCCATTTCTGCTCCAGCTCAGCCACACTCTAACAGAGACAAAAATAACATTTACCACAGTTGGCCACCTTAAGGAGTAGAAGAGATCTTAAAAGAAGAAATCAGAGTACATTTTGCATTTCTGTGTTTCTAAAATGCTCTTAATGCACACTTACTCTTAAAAAAAAAAAGCTTTCTTTAAATAAAATTTTATGTTTACCTGCAATTGTCTCTCCATGGCATTTAGCTTCTTAAAGGTCTCGCCCATAATTTTACAAAGTAAATCATATTCTTCAGCATGTTCTTCCTGATACTGGAAATTTATCAGAGACTGGAGTGCATCAACCAAATTCAGATGTTTAATCACACACGAAACTACCATCTCCTCCATTACTTCTGGCTGAATCACTTCCCTAGGGTTACAGGTAAAGCCAAGTTGATGAAGCAAGAATTACACAAAAACTCTGACAGTTCATATTTACAATTCACTAGATGCTGCATTCACAAACAAGTATTAACAGAGTATTAAGTGCAAACCATCAAGCACTCCACATCCTCACTGCTTTTTTTTTAGCTCACTCACTTTGGCAACAAACATGTCATACAATAAAAGTCAAGCTAGAGAAATAAAGCAAAACAACAACTACTTACTTTATGCTAGGTCTAAATTGAGGCCGAGCCCGTCCAGAGAGTATTAAATGCAGACCATCATGCATGACAGGCACTCCACATCCTCACTGCTGCTTTTTTAGCTCACTCACTTTGGCACCAAACATTTCAAACAATAAAAAAGTTAAGCTAGGGAAATAAAGCAAAACAACAACTACTTACTTTATGCTAGGTCTAAATTGAGGCCGAGCCCGTCCAGAAATTTCCCTGAGTTTTATCATGATTCCTGGAGGCAGCCTAATCCTAGGCAGATCAAAGTAGTGTCCAACAGGAGGCACTAGAACATCAGAAGGATATGTGAATTCTCTGTCCTCATCGATAGTAAGAGGCAATGGAGAAGGACTTGGTGTAAGGGCTGGAGAGATTACACCATTAGCTTCCACCTGCCACTGGCACCTGGAAAAAGAAATAAAAACAGATGAAAAGGATTTTTTCCACCCCCCTGTGACTTTCCTCCTTCATTCACAAAGACACATTAGTTAAGACCACATTACATAGACAGGCTATATATTCACATAGTAAGTGTGGCTTCTACCCTCCTCCTCTTCTCAAAAGAAAACCTCTATTTTAGAGAATATTTTCTTAGTTTTAGGCAACACAGAACTGCTGATGAAACTGCAGGAGAAATTATCAAAACTTCACCCTGGAACATCACACTTGAGCACAACTAAAAAAGTGACAAAAGTCACTTCCTCTCAGAAAAAAAACCATGTATGAATTCAGATTTTATTTTATTTTTTTTTTACCTTTGTAATAAAACCATCAGACTTGAGCACAACTACAAAAGTCACTTCCTGTTAGAAAAAAAAACGTGTATGAATTCAGATTTTATTTTTTTTTTACCTTTGTAATAGTTTAGATCTTAAGAGCTCCTGACAGGTTTCTTCATCTTTGGTAATTTCTGGTCCATTGTATAATATTCGCAGCATTGAACAGGCTAAGACAGAAAGGCCAAGTGCCAGGTCAACTAAGAATGGCAAACCTCCTGACACATCCTCTGAAGACTCCTGTAGAAGGAATAGTGATAAGTTGCACGAATCAATCAACCATGAAGTCCTTCCATAATTTATTTCAAGACAGAAGATTTTATGTTTTTATAGCTCATCTTCATATAAGACATAGATCTATATCTATCAATCAAATGTCTCTTACACAGAATTACACTGAAAAAATGCTCAGCAATTAAAAACAATCCATAAGGATAAGACAAGAAATAAAGGATTTAAACATTACTTTATTGAACCAAGAAAGAAAAGGCAAAGTTAATGCTGGTTTAGTCTTTCTTTGGCCTGTAGATCTGCCACCTCACAGGCCCAGTCCTAGTTTCCTGTTATTGGGATTGAGTTTCCTTTTGTTTGATTCCAGTGCCCCTCCCCTCTCTTTATAGGCTGGAATTATTCCCACCTCATTTCCTTATTAAATCTCCAATTTCCAGGTTGTTGCCTAACTCTCCAAAGAAATCCTGATCTACAAGGGATATTCAAGTGACTTCACCCAAGCCCAGTGCCAAAAACAAGAGGTAGACAAGACATATTTGGTAATAACTATCTTCATAAGACCATGTCACAGGGTATTTCTAGCTAAGGAACCCAAACATCTAAAACTTTGGTCCTTTATATCGTAAAAAGATGAATTGTCTTATTGCCCAACTAAGTAAGCTATGACTGTTTTAAATTTCAACTTCCAACACTAAAGAAATAATTTCTGCTTGTTCTGAAGTGTGTCACAGACAGAAGATGGACTGAAGCTGAAGCTGCCCCTTCAGTACCTGTGCTCGAACTGTGCAAGCAAAGCCCCACATAGCTTTGTCTGGGGTGTTGTGCTCACGCCCGCTCCGCATTTCAAAGGAGAAGGTGACTGTATCTCCTTCCACCTTCACATTTTGATGGGGAGGAGGGGGAAAAAAAAGAAAGAAAAGATACATTTAAGAATTGAGGTAAACAGTTTTTGCATACAAGTGGCTTATTTTATGGATTAAAGTTTTTAATGACAGCTATCTAAGTATTATTTTTTTATTTCCAGTTATACACTCTGATTTAGGATTCTTCACTTTCTCTAAGGTTGATTCAATGGATTTGAATTTTGCTGCTGGCTAACTATAGAAAAACCAAAATCCACCATAGTTGTAGAAACAAAAGTAGAATTTATCAGTCTGTGTTACTTGGACTTGATTTTCATTACCATGCTTTCATTATTTGTCTGCAAGAAACCATGCAATAATCAACAGCTCTCTTCCTGAAGGAAGACAGACAAGCTCTTCAAGAAGCATGTCAACACATTAATAAGAGTTTGCTAAAATCAGTATAAAAATCTGCCACTGAAAAATAAATTAAATTCCATCAATTGTGAACAATGGAGTGCTTGTCTGAAATTGCTTCCAATTTAATTCTTGTTCTTCTTTTTGGCATTATTTTTTATGCATATAAGCCCAGTTTTAGTGCAGGAAAACACAGCAGCACAGACACATAAGAAAAAAATCATACTGCATACCATCTGAGGGCACATACTGCAAAGTTCTTGAAATATTGAACTTTCAAGAAGAATGAGGGATTTTTTTCTATCATAGCTTTACTGCTGAAAGCACCCGATGTAATTTTAAAACCCAACACAAAAGGTTGGAAAGTTGCTACTTTTACCACTTGTTATATTTGTGGGTTAAAAAAATGCAGTCATGCCCACAGGCCTTAAGAAAATACAGACTGCAAGAACCTCTCCTGGAAAATATAATTATGAGAACAGCAGGGCCATTAGAGACTCCAGATTGAAACATTCCAATAACAAATTCCAGTAAGACACAAAGCAAGGTAAGCTCAGGAAGAAGCGTCACACAACACACAGTTGAGTTCAAAGTCATTCCCCAAGGACATAACAGCCCACTTAAGAAGGTAGCCATACACTTAAAAGCTTGGACTTCATTGCTCTAAGGGTTAAAATGGACTCAACATTGTTTCCAAAGGGGATGTTTCTATGGGAAAGATTGTTGGATTATTATACTGTACCTTTACTAAGTCTTTCGGCCAACCAGTTCCTAAGACACTACGGCTGCCATATCCCAGTGTATTGCCTCCATACTCAGCAACCTTCCTACTGTTTGTGTTAGGACCAGCATAGATCACCAACTTCAAAACATAAAATACACTGTTAGACTGTAAGAGAAAAACAAGAAAATCTAATAATAATAATAATACTTAGCACTTACACCGCGCTTCGTGTTTTCACAGCGCGTCATCAACATTAACAAGTCCTCACAACAGCCCTGTGAGGTGAGCAGGCAAGTATTATTATCCCCATTTTACAGATGGGGAAACTGAGGCAGAGAGGAAATGGAGTGACTTGCCCCTGAGGTCACACAGCAAGTCAGCAGCAGAACTGGGAGCAGGAATCAGGAGAAATCCTAACTTCCAGTCCTCGTGCTGAGCTAGCCAGAATATCGTGCCTCTCTAATAATAAATGGATTGATCCTGCTCCCATCAACCTTAATACTTTGTCAGGGAATATAACAAGGGACAAAGCTTTCTGAAGGAGCTTAACCAGTAATGGGTGACATTAATATTAAAGATGCTCATAAATAACTAAAGGGAGCAAGTATCTCATCTGCTCTACGTCGAAGAATATATGGCAACAATTAGTAAGCAGCACAAGTGGCTCTCTGATGAGCCACAGTAAATAAGTGCTATTGGTTCTGTTGCTAAAATTGAAAATACTTGTTCATATTAATCCATGTAAACAAGCCATTTATTTTCAGGAGGGAAAAAAGTTATCTTTCCAGTTCTGCCCAGTTTAAACAAACTGTGTTGATCTACAGCATAGGCAGCTAGATAAAGGTTTGAGAAATAAGGAAAACAACAACAGCAGAAATGAGAAGGAAGTAAAACTTTCCAACCTGAGCCATCATGAAATGAACTTAAGAAAACAAAACAGAAGAGTTGGTATGAACTTCTGAGGGGGGGGGGGGGAGGGAAAA